GGAGAAAATTGGGAAGTGTGATAGATGGTGAGTGGAAAAGGGACCAGGGCAAAGTAAGTGGGTTTAATGTAGGAAGATAGGGGCGGGCAAGGGTTTGACCCTCCTTCTTAAACACTTTTCTGTCTCCGTGGAAGCTCACAATCTACAGTGTAACTGGTGTGTTAGAGTAGGTTGTTTATGAGTATTTACATCCACATATACAGACAGCGAGCAACATTGTCTGTTTATGAAATTAACAAAAATGCCCTCTAGGCATTAAAACTGCCTTACATGAAATAATAAAATAAATTCAGCAATGAATAAACTGCCTACCAAGGTATTGGGAATCCCTTTCCTTGTAAAATCAAAATGGAAGTATGTATGTTTTGCTTTCTGAAGGTTGATCAACTGTTTATTACTCCCATCACACCTCACCTCTGGGAAATCTGGCTAGGGACTCTGAAGATGCCAGCCACAGTTGCAGACAAAATGTCAGGAATAAATTCTTGCAGAATGTGGCCACACAGCCCAAAAACCCCACAGAAAACCTCATGGAGGAGTTGGGGCAGACAATGGGGAAAAGGCCAGCAAGGAATGGGGCTGCCTTTCATCTCATACAATTTTAAAGACAACATTTGCTGCCTGAGGGGAGAATTAGCAGCTCCTTGTGGTATGGCAAGAAGCCTCTATAACCCAGAGCTTGCTTGCTTGCTTATAGGGTTTTTTTGGATTACAGTGGCCATGCCAAATAGGGAAACTCTGGGAACTAATTTTTGAAAAAGGGTAACACTGGAGAGCCAGCATGGCATACTGGTTTGCCTTAGGGTCGCTGTAATTCAGAAAGGACTTTAACCAGCACACAACAACAACATGGCTGAGGGCTGTTATAACCTGAGACAATGCAGCCAGTAGGCCCAAGGCTATCACTTCTCTTTGGCATGCCTTCCTAAAGCACACAATTGTTGTTGTTACTGTGTGCCTTCAAGTCATTTCTGACTGATGGCAACCCTAATGTAAACCTATAATGGCGTTTTCTTGGCAAGTTTTTTCAGTGGGAGTTTGCCATTGCCATCCTCTAAGGCTGAGAGAGTGTAACTTGCCCAGGGTCACCCAGTGCGTTTCCATGGCCAAGCTGGGATTCAAACCCTGGTCTCCAGAATCATAGTCCAATTCTCAAACCACTACTAGCAATTTGCACAGAAAGAGCCAGCAGCCTAGCCAAAAATTAAAAGACATATAATAAGATGTGGGCACAAAACCTAGTCCTTCTTCCAGCCTTTTCCAAATGGCATACCTGAAAAGTCTTTTTTTTTTTTAAATTGCTTATACCAAATGACCATCCCTGACATGAGTTTGTTGGTATGCTTCCTTGCTTTTGAGAGATACATTTTTTAAAATGTGTTTATATGACAGGCAGTGCATGCTTTAGAATGTCCTTGGCTATTAATTCCCTTACTTTTAAAGTACATGAAGCTTTGTAAGTGAGCAGCAAACTATAACATTGTTACTTAGCAACCTGAGCGAGCTTTTTAGAAAATGAATTGCTGGTGGATAATTCATGTGGCATTCATGTGTATCTGCTGTACATGTGTGTATAAAACAAAACATGCGTGTAGGTCATGAGTGTAGGCTTCTAGGCATCCTATCTTGTTGGGGGATATGTAGTGCACATGCATCCATGCACAAACACAAACACACACACACACAAGTTCTGTTGCATAAACTGCACTCGGCAAGTGAGAACTGTACGGAAGATGTCCATGATGAATTGCATCTATTATGCAAGAACATAAGGTATGCATTCTGAAGACAGACAAATGAGTGAAGTGTGGCATTTATAGTCTATTATGCAGACAATGTCTGTGGGTGTGAAACCGAACACAGTGCAAATGCTATGACAGTATCACTAATCTTTGAAATTAAGCCCACAAAATTGGTAGCTTGCAGACCATTTTTACTATCCTGTCCTGCCAAACGTGTCTAGGGCTGCACCCACACTGTAGAAATATAATCAAGTTTGAGACCGCTTTCACTGCCATGGCTCAAAGCTATGGAATTCTGGGAACTGTAGTTCAGTGAGCTATTTAGCCTTCCCTCTCAGAGAGCTCTGGTGTCCCACCAAATTACAATTCCCAGAATTCCATAGCATTGAGCCATGACAGTAAAAGTGGTGTTAATCTGCATTATTTCTGTAGTATGGCTACAGCCTATTTTAGTACGTTATGACAGTCTATATAGGGAGTTGTTTTCCTTTCAAGTATCTATTTCCTATGGAATCCTAGGCTTTATAGTTTGGGGAGGGCTTAGGCAAGTATCAAATGCCCTGATCTCAACTGCAAATCCCAAGATCTTGAAGGATGCAGCCATGGCTGTTAAAGTGGAATCATAGCCCCATAACCGTGTAGTGCAAAAGAGCCCCAGGAAACCACTCTCCTTTGTCATGGGGACCAAATGTGGGACATGTGACAAAACTACTATTATAAATGTTTTGCAAACTGTCTAGGCAATAATTTTACCATATATTTTACCAGACAGCTGTGTTTGTGGTAATATCCTGACCATTTGGTAGAGTTATAATGAGAGGAGGTGGTGGCTCATTATATTGTTGTTTTAGTGTGAACTGAGAGCTCATCCTAAAACGACTTAAGGAGTTTATCACACGGGACGAAATTAGGAGTTTAAACAGTAATTAACCAATGAAAATTGCGCAACTGATATTAAAACACGATTAAAATGAGATTAACACAAGAACCATTATCCCATGAATAACCAGGGAAAATCCCATGAATGATTTACTGCTGTTTCTTGCCTGGTTATTCAAGGAATAATGGCACTTTAATCACGTTTCATCGCGACATCGTGTGAAGATAATTAGCGCAACTGCGGGATTATCATGGATTATTCACGGGATAATAGCACTTTGAACATGACGTTGTGTGAAAACCATTAGCGCAATTGCAGGATTATCACAGGTTAATCACCGTTTATATTTCCAATTGTCCGCTGTGTAATAAACTCCTTTGTTTTCCCCCTTGACTTTTTATAGGGAAACACCACCACATTTGTGACATTTCCCTGTGATCCCTCTTTGATCCTTCTCTTTTATAAACGTGCTTCCTCATGCTGAAAACAAGTTAGAGCTATGCTAAATTTAATAACAGAAAATGAATATTTCACATGGTTGAATATAGATTTCATAACAAGTGGCAAATTCAGAAGAACTAGCAATTATGGAATAATTAATGGAATTCCAGATCAGCAATTTTTCTGCACAATCTGTTATTGAAAATTGCTTGAGAAGTTATTGTGTCCACTTTGTGTCACATGATCTCTAAATATTTTTGCTCTGATACACATCCACACCCTTCTCCCACCCATTTCTTTTTTTTCACAAAAAAGCTTGCACTTCATTTTAAATGCCTATAAGCCTTTATGTACTTCGTCTGGAGCCATTTTCTCATTCCTTCTCCATTACTGGAGACTTTTTCATTCCTATTTTATATTAAGTTTATTTTCAATTGTGAAACTGTGCTATTACACCAAAAATCTCATTTACATAACTGAGGCTGTTCCTGTTACATCTATATATGGAATCCACATTTGCACCAGCCATAAGCCACAATTTGGCTATGGTTTGCATGAAATAGCCACAGTTTCAGTCAGGGATCCACAAATTTTTCAGACCCAAGGACTGTATTCGGTACATTTGAGAATCACAAGTACCTGAGGAGTGTACTTTTGTTTCAGTTTTGGGAGGTTTAGTTCCCTCCTTGTTTTTTTTCCTATTGTTGTTGTTGTTGTTGTTGTCATTCAAACTAGGGAATGTTACTTTTATTTTAACTCTCAGAATTCCTCAGTCATTAAGGCCAGTGACCATGCTAGTTGGGGGATTCTGGAAATTGTAGAACAAAAAGTAACCTTCACAAGCTCTGCACCCACATATTGTGCACTTTTTCCATTTTGGTACACAACTGAACATATGCACACATGCATACTATCCACCCACACAGATGTTTCAGACACTCCAGCAATCTCTTCTGATATTGCTGTTAACTTACCACTAATAGCAGTGGATAAATAGCAGTCTTGGAAGATTGTTTCACCAGCTGGTGAAAGAGTGGTGAGACCTGGAAAAGGTCTGCAGGTTATGGGACTGTTGATGTTGTGCCTTCAAGTCATTTCTGATTTATGGCCACCCGAAGGCAAACCTGTCATGGGGCTTCCTTGGCAAGATTTGTTCAGAGGGGGTTTGCTATTGCCATCATCTGAGGCTGAGAGAGTATGACTTGTCCATGGTCCTCTAGTTGGTGCAGATTATGGGTATCTAGTTTAAATTAAGTAGAGCCTGGATAGAGCAAGGCAACCTTGTTGGTTGCTTTATAGTTTTGCTTCGGGTCTCACAGGGAGAAAGGAAGGTTATTAAAAAAAGAAATAAATTCTTGGAAGAGGTGCTAGAAAATAGCAAGATAAAGGCTGCCAAAAGAGGATTGTATAATGTAATGCAGGGCTACATAATTGTTGGGGAAAGCTGGGAGGGCAGTTTTTAAGTTCAGCAAATGCTCGTCAAAGAGATGTACATACTATCGTTGGTTTTGGGAGGTTTGAGGGGTTTTTCCTATCATCGTCACCACCACCACCTTTATCATTATTATAATATCCCACTTTTCTCCAGGGGTGGGATCCCAAATTGCTAATCCAAGGCTGTTAATTTTTATGCAGAATAAAAATTAGCTACATATACATGAAACAGATTAAAAATAAATTGAAATAAATTTAAAGTTCATTCTTTGTTAAATGTTATTAAATTTTTTAACACCTCCCCACTCATTCTTAACAGCCCCCTCCATTCATACTTTTAAAATTATTATTAAATTGGTGTTGGTATGTAAATTAACTTTGTTGTTGTTATGTGCCTTCAAGTCATGGGGTTTTCTTGGCAAGATTTGTTTAGAGGAGATTTGCCATTGCCTTCCCCTGAGGCTGAGAGCATGTGACTTGCCCAAGGTCACCCAGTGGGTTCATGGCTGCACTGGGAATTGAACCTGGGTTTCCAGAGTCTCAGCCCAACACTCAAACCGCTGTGTCACTCAGGCTCTAATTTTAAATGTGTTTAAATTTACTTTGAAATGATCCTGACTGTGATATTGACTATTGCATTTGAACTAAGAGGAGCTAAATCGACCAAGATAAATATTGACCATCCCATTTACTATAGTCCACTTGTTACTTTTCTCATTGACTATAATGCTTTAGTGGTCTGCTACTAAATTTTGGTGGCAATCAGCAATATCATTAGAAAACAACAAGACAAACAATTCTGGGACATGCTGGGAAGCCACAGAAAAAAGGTTTGGGATCACACGTAACTCACAGCCCACATTTTGCCCACCAGAGTGCAACACTTACATTAGTGTAGCATCACATCCAGAACAGTGCATAACTTGAATCTATGACCTTTCCTTAAACTCAAGTCCTTGGCTACCGGACTCAATCCGGTTTGAATGTTCCTTCTCTTTCCTGTCAGCATGAAAACAGGAAACTTTCACTTCTGTTTTCAGTTTAAATTAGTTTATCATTAAGTCTAAACCTGGGCCCCATTCCCACTTACAAGTAAATCAGTTTGCGATCCGAATCAGTGGATCAGTTCGACAGCGGAGCATGGTTCACATTTGTCCCAATCACATTTTCTTGTTGTAAAATAACCCATTTGTCATTCACATTGACTAATGAATCAATTCAAAATGGACCGTCTTCAGCTGGCCAGCAAATTTAAAGGGCAAATTTAAATTGATTCCAATCCCCATCCCATTCACACTTGCGCTGAATCAATTTAATGCAAAAGATACAGAAAAAAAAAATGTGTATCAAGAAGACACACATGGGTCTAGCATGGGAGGGGCCTCACCAAACCGCTTCAGTGATTTGGCTCAAGTGTGAAACAGGGTAATTTAAACCACTTCAAACTGGTTAGCAAACCGGTTTATAAGTGGGAATGAGGCCCCGGTCTGTCTTCACAATGTTTAACTAACCAAGCCAGGTTTACAAGCCATGGTCACATGCTGGTTTCTTTCCCTAAATCATAATTAAGACTAACCACAGTGTATCCAGTGTCCTCTCTGACAGTGCTTTAAATTTTCTCCTCGCAGTCATAGAATCATAGAATCATAGAGTTGGAAGAGATCATAAAGGCCATCCAGTCCAACCCCCTGCCATGCAAGAACTCAAAATCAAAGCATCCCCGACAGATGGCTCTCCAGTCTCTGTTTAAAGACCTCCAAAGAGGGAGACTCCACCACACTCCGAAGGAGTGTGTTCCATTGTCAAACAGTTCTTACTGTCAGGAAGTTCCTCTTAATGTTGAGGTGGAATCTCTTTTCCTGTAGTTTGAATCCATTGTTCCATGTTCTAGTCTCTGGAGCAGCAGAAAACAAACCTGCTCCCTCCTCAATATGACATCCCTTCAAATATTTAAATATTATATCCCCTCTTAACCATCTCTTCTCCAGGTTAAACATACCCAGTTCCCTAAGTCGTTCCTCGTAGGGCATGGTTTCCAGACCCTTCACCATTTTTGTTGCCCTCCTCTGGACACGCTCCAGTTTCTCAACATCCTTTTTGAATTGTGGTGCCCAGAACTGGACACAGTATTCTAGGTGAGGCCTGACCAAAGCAGAATAGAGTGGCACTATTACTTCCCTTGATCTAGATACTATACTTCTATTAATGCAGCCTACAATCGCATGTTCAACTTGTGGTCTACTAGGACTCCTAGATCCCTTTCACATGTAGTCTTGTTAAGCCAGGTGTCTCCAATCTTATATCTATGCATTTCATTTTTTTGTCCTAAGTGCAGTACTTTACAT